ACTCCTTTTACAAACATTAACTCATCTATTGAAACTCAAACAATGGACACAGTTTGTGGCATACTTCTTTTACAAACATTAAGTATGTTAGAAATATAGTTTAAATGCCATTTAAATGTGAATGTATAATGATGCATCAACTTCACCTGACAAAGAGCTTGGTAAAGAGCTGGAAAGCTTGCAAGTTATGAAAACCGTATACTTTAACACTGTACTTCAGCCGATAAGTTTTGTTTGGTAGTTGTTAAGCACAAAGCTACTCAATGGGTCATCTGTGCTCTGCCACCCAAGAGTATCGAAAACCTGATTTTTAGCATTGTAAGCCTACAAATGTACAGCTGAGCTACAGGGGGACAACTTGCATTAATAAATTTTGGGCTTTGTTATTTTTCAGCAGTGCTTGTTTTCACTCAATGAAAATATTATACACATTTTTAAAATGTTGTAACAACAGACAACTTTGCATTATGTTCAGCTGATCCCTTGTATTACTTATCACATTTAAAAAACTTTTTAATATATAAATAATAAAATCAAACAAAAAAATAATTTTAATTTTATTGGTTCTGTTACAATATTGCTCAGAAGTCAAAGCTGCAAACAAATCACGAAAAATCAAAGTTAACTTATAAAAAACCAGTATATCAGCTTAATTATTTAACTAGTAATAACTATACTCTGAAGCTAATACTTCAAAATGATCATGAAAAACCAAAAACTCAAACATTATGTGACTGACTGTTAAATTAATTTTATTCCATTGGTAACAATATTTTTTATTATTATTAAATCTTCTGGCATGTACTATTAGGCTTAATGGACCACTCTTGAGAAGATACTATTAAACAGTGTCATTTAGACAAAAGAAATGTACCTTGCAGTTTGGAAGTTTTTCTTTAATCTTACGTCCAACACCCGTAAGAGTTCCCCCAGTACCAGCACCCAATACAATCATGTCTAAATGACCATCACATTGGTCAAGAATTTCTTCGGCAGTAGTGTCATAGTGAGCCAGGGGATTGCCACAGTTACGGTACTGTAACATAACGTGTTGTTACAAGATTCAATAACAAATAAAATTAAAACTAAAACATAATTAAAGAAAGTGAGAACTAAAGCTGATACTATACAATGTACTTCTATATTAAACCTAGACTTTGATAACACCCAAACGTGTTGACATATAAACTCAGGGATTCTATTGTTTATCATAGTATTTATTAAGTAAAGTTAAATAAACTTTATTATTTGACATCCATATCAATGATTAATTTATAATTTCTTTCTTTAATTTCCAACGTATCATAACAATAACATTAAACTTCAAAATGAAATTTTTCTAAAACATGTCAGAGTAAATCCAAATTTAGAAAAAAAATCTAAGCAGCAATAATGTGATTGGTCTTGTAACATTTCTTTAACTGAACCACCAGTACAGTAAACTCAACCTATGGGGCAGTACATCACAATTAAAATGTCACAGTCACAAGAGGTAATTTGATAAACATACAAGTTGCCATAATGACAGGTGAAAAGCTAATACATCATAGCTCTGCCACCTACCTATGATCAAGTTGTGTGTAAGGTTTTTCACGTTTGTGTGTGTGTGTGTGTGGGGGGGGGGGATGGATCCTAAATAATAAGGTAAATTTATCCTGACTTTACCATCCGTGAACAGTGAGATAATATTACTCTAACAATTTTGACAACTGTAATTTAAGAAGTTTCAGTACAAAGCAACAAGCATTGTAAATAACAACTAACATACTATAAATATTACTCACCCTCGGAATAACAAAATAACTAAAAGAAAGTTCAACACTAGGAAGGTATCTGCTATAACACTTATTTTATACATTTCAATTCAGTTTGATTTTGTTATTTACCTTTAAATCAACCATCCCATGTCATATTGGGTTTTAGTAATGTTTACACTTTTGTTTAACATTCAGCTTAGTTAGAACCTAAAATTAAAAACCATTAAGTACTTTCTCTTTAGAAATGTCTAACCTTCTGCAAGACATGAGTTAAGTTCTACCTATCATCTCACCTGATCAAGTATTACAGCATTTGGTATTTCTAAACAGAGTCTTTGAGCTACACTTATGTGAGATTCAGGAGAATCGAAACGAGCACTAGTAGGCGTTCGTACAATCTCTGCTCCAAGGGCTCGCAGGACGTCCACTTTCTCATTGCTCATTTTTTCAGGCATCACAATGATACAGCGATAACCTTTCACAGCTGCTGCTAATGCTAAGCCAATTCCTTGGTGAACAAAAAAAATAAATAAATCAGAATGCAAAGTATTGAAAATCAGAAATCTGAAAGTTAAAAAACTGACAAAATCTTAAGTTATGTGAATCACATAATTTTATTACAGAACTTTACATAAATATTAACATAATATTTAGGGACAACAAGGAACCTATTGGTCCATCTTGGCTGTCTCGCCTTTAAACTAAACTAAAACTATTAAATACATTAACTAAAAACAAAAAACTGAAAGATAGCCCTTATCATTCATATAGTTATCAAGTTTTCTCTTAAACTCACTTAAATTACTTTCTCCAAAACACCCTGTTAGAAAAATAAAACTGTCTTAGCTGAAGATGACTCCTACCTTGCCAAAACTTATATTTCTGTCCTCTAGTCCTACTGTTCTTGCCATTAAGTGTGAAAAATGATGATTCATCAACAATACCAATTCCCTCAACAATCTTTAACACCTCAATCAGATCCCCCCTCTAACTCTTCTTTTATAAAAAACTAAACAATTTCAGAGATCTTAATCTCTTCACATGACAACCCTCCATTTCAGGCATCATTCTACTAATCCTCCTCAATGTCCTTTCCAAGGTAAGGAAGCCAAGACTGAACACAATACTCCAAATGTGGCCTAACCAGTGACCTATACAATGAAATTATAACCTTTTAGACTCGTATTTCATATTTCTGTAGATACAACCTAAAATCATATTTGCCCTACCACTAGCAACAGCACACTGCTTGGATGGTTTAAGAGACTGATCAACCATTACACAAAGGTCCCTTTCTTTCATGACACTGTTAAGGTTATTCCCATCCAAACTGTACTTATAATTCAAATTATGAAAACCCACGTGCATTATCTTGCATTTATCATAATTAAAACCCATCTTCCATTTATTTACCCAACTCACCAAATGATCTAAATCCTTTTGTAAACCAGTAGCATCCTCTTTACAGCTAGCAACACCTTAATATCATCAGCAAATTTAAGTAATTTATTGACCATTTCTTCATCTATGTCATTGATGTAAATCAAAAAAAGCAAAGATTCTAAAACTGAGCCCTGAGGTACTCCAATTGTGAGATCAATCCAGTTTGACTAAACTCTACTTCTAACAACCTTCTGCTTTTTTTCCATCCAGCCACTCTTCTATCCAATTAATTAACTTATCTCCCACATCTAAACAGATAATTTTTTACAAGCCTTTCTGAAAATCTAGATACATCAAATCTACATCCTTTCTCTCGTCTACATAAGCAGCAACGTTTTCAAAGGATATCGAAAGATTTGTAAGGCAAGATTTTTAGCCTGAAATACATCTTAGTTACTAAACTTGATAAATTATAGTGGAATTCTATGGTATTGCTACAGTAATTTATGATTTTTTGGTTATTCAACTGTATATATATAAAACCTTTAGAAAACATTTTGTTTCATATCCTCCATGTGCAAAATTTTAAAAGGCTTAGCAAATTAAATCAAGCAGCAACCGAGTACAAAGGTTTCATATCCTCCATGTGCAAAATTTTAAAAGGCTTAGCAAATTAAATCAAGCAGCAACCGAGTACAAAGGTCGTAACTAGAAGAGATAATTGTTTGCTTTACTTCTTTATTTCTGTTCAATGTTGTAAG